GTGCAGCACCAAATCTGTATTTGAGGAAGTCACAGTGGAAGAAAACCCCAAACAACATGGATAATAATACCTAATCAATATTTTCTGATGAAAATATACAGCACTTGCTGTTTTATCTCATCATTTGATTTTGATAGCTGGGGAAAATATGGCAATATATAGTGATACTGCAATATCGTGATAATATCGTATCGTGACCCAAGTATCGCGACATGTATCGAATCGCAACACTCATGCCAATACTCACCTCTAATGCTTGCACACTGTTGCACTTTTATCCACAACTTTCTTTCCGCCGTCATCGTAGGTCACTCTAAATGCAAAGTGGTCCCATACAGCAGACCTATAAAGTGCTGCTGGCGCGTCTTCCAACTCCTGTAGAAATGAACCACGTACCCACACAATTCTCCACAACAACTGATTTTTTTTCTGCTACACCCGGCTACGCTGCTTCGCTTCTTCTTCTTCTTCTTGTTTACTACTGGTGGTTGGCTTTGGTCGCAGTACCGCCACCTTCTGCTCTGGAGTGTAAACGCTTCGCCTACGAGAAATGAGCAGCGCATGAACCGAACGCAACACACACGAATCGAACTGAACGGTTCGGACGGTTTCCATAAACCGTTCCATCCCTACTCCCCACAATCAGGAATAAGGTAGAAGGATTTCCCGAAAACCAGCCAATCACAGGCAGTTTGTCTCTCACATGAAGCTTCAGATTTTCTGCGGTCAGAACCAAGTTGTATGATGTAATATACAACATAACTGAAGAGCTTTTTCTAACACATTTGACACAAAAATCAAGAGAAAAGCTGAGTTACAGTTAAGAAATAATGTTATATTAAAGAATCGATTTCAGAGAGTCTATCATTCGTCATAAGAGTCGTCTAGAGCGTAAATGAGTCATCACACTGATTGGAAATGAGAGAATGCAAACAGGCAATAGTGGTGAGTTACAGAGCAGGGCTGGGAGAGGAGTGATGGAAGATCATTAAAGCTGCAGGTTGTTCTAACCACACCACAACATCATCTAAAGCAGCGACTGTGCAGGCTTTACTTTCACGCTGGCTGAGAGCCATTCAGTAATGAAAATCAGCCTGACAGAAGATTATATGTGCATTATCTCCACCAGCAGCAGCCAAGGCAGCCCATGCAGCCTGTTCTTATTTTGCAGTTACTACGAGCCTTTCCTCAGGGAATTACTAGTAATTCTGGTATTTACCAGAGTGGGCCCTGACTACAGCCATGACGGTGGGTCTGTGTTTTCTGTTGGATTCTACACGCCACCGATCTGTTTGTGAGGCACTGTGACCTAAGCTGACTGCTTGAAGTGGTGCCATGTGGAGAAAAGGACACTAAAGACACCAAACCAACACCTTTAGAGATCATCTCCCACTTAGAGACGCTCGGATCACTTGATCAGAGATCAGAATCAGCAATTATTCCTTTAATCTGCTTACACTGGTTTAAAAATAATACTTATTTTACTTTTCACTGAATATAGAGCAACTTAGAACTTAGAAAATGAATCATTATTTGGTTTATAAAAGGATCAATAGTAACTGCATGTACCTGGAGGCCTATTCTTTGAGCAAAAAATCAGTTAAAGGAGCATCGTCACCTTCATTGTTGGGAGCAACGCCACACGCCAAACGTGTTTTGACAGTCTGGCAGTGAAACTTGGAACATTTTATGCATCGGGGACAACTTTAAAAAAAATAAATAAATAAATTCCCCGGTGTTTTATTGTGATTAAACTGTCACAAGTACAGAGCAACGAAATGAAATCTCTGCACCCGTCCCCTTGGGGAGCAGTGGGCTGCCATTGTGGGGCGCCCGAGGAGCAGTGTTGGGTCTTTGCTCAGAGACCCACAGTGGCAGCGAGGCTTGAACTCAGAACCTGAGGATTGCAAGCTCTATGCCCTAACCACTAGGCCTCCACTCCCCCTGTCTAACATCAGGCACTCGAACAAAAAAAAAAAAAAATCTGAATTTAGCGCTTAATGGCAAATATCAACCAATCAGAGAAGCTGATCCGGGAGCTGGCAGGGAGACGGTCACTGCATCCAAACCATGATCTCTACTCCTCCTCGCCAAAGTCCTGAATCGATTCGATTTTGATTCATACAGTTCTAAATCGATTCATTTCGATTCAATCTGTTTTTGCAACAATGATAGTGGTTCAACTGTGTTTCAAAATACTCATGTATCACGTGACACAGCAGACATTCATGAGCTGCATTATCTTCAATGCACAAACCATATTTGCAGCGTTGTCTGTAACAACTACAGGGTGTTTTCTGGTCAGCCTCCATTTGTTAAAGGAATTGTACACCCAAAACATGATTAGCCTTCATTTTCTACTCACCCCCATGCTGAACAACACTCTGGAGTACTTTTTTGATATCTCAAATGCATCTGGAGATCTGGGAGGCTTCTTGCTGTCTGCTGACATTCAAATAATGGAGGTCTATGGCGCCCGAGGCAGAAAGGTCCATAAAAGTCCACAAAAAACGTGTCAATATTCCTCCATACTGCTCGTCCAATGTATTCCAAGTGTCCTGAGTGGGTAGCATCCAGAATTTACTCGAAACGAAGTCATTTAGAATGTTTTTAGAGCATAAACAGTAGTGTATAGGATTTCCTGAAAGCGCGCACATGCGCGATCACGACGCTACGGAAGCCGGCAGACCAAACCAGCGCATTCAGCTCGGCAAAGAACTCATGCTCTTCCTCAACACTGAAGTCCTCAGACATTTTTCTTTCGTTGTTTCTTTCTTTGCACAGGTAAACAGCACATTTCTTCTTCTACGCTTGCATTATTGGAAGAGCAGACGCTGAATGCGCACTTTCATCTGGTTTGGTCTGCCGCGGTTTCCGTAGACTCGTGATCGCGCATGTGCGCGCTTTTAGGAAATCCTATACACTGCTGTTTATGCTCTAAAAACATTCTAAATGACTTCGTTTTGAGTAAATTCTGGATGCTACCCACTCAGGACACTTGGAATACATTGGACGAGCAGTATGGAGGAATATTGACACATTTTTTGTGGACTTTTATGGACCTTTCTGCCTCGGGCGCCATAGACCTCCATTATTTGAATGTCAGCAGACAGCAAGAAGCCTCCCAGATCTCCAGATGCATTTGAGATATCAAAAAAGTACTCCAGAGTGTTGTTCAGCATGGGGGTGAGTAGAAAATGAAGGCTAATCATGTTTTGGGTGTACTATTCCTTTAATGTCTTCATTTAACCTATTGGCTATATTTGCAGCTGTCTGGCTTGAAGTCATCTTGAGTACATCTTTCCTGCTTATTTAAGGGAAGGAATCGATTCAAAATCGATTAAGTCGATTTTTTTACCCAGCCCTAGTCAGCATAAAACCAGCTAAAATACACAAGAATATATTTAAAGGTGTTACACTGCATTGGGTTTGGTTAAAACACATGGATGGTGTATTTTTCATGTAGAAAGGAAAGTGAGGATGTTCTGACCACTACACTATTTTGTTTATAAACAGTTTATAAAATATCAAAAATCGTCAGTGAAATTTTGCCATTACATATTGTTGTTTATGTTATTTTTACCACCTAAAAAAGCTTATATTTACTTCGAGGTGCTACTAACAGCAGCAGGAAGTCTTTCTATAAGCTGGCCCACTTCATTGAGGTATGGCTGGACTGCCGGTGACTGCTCCCCCCTCAGTCCGCATGGGTCTACTGCTACAGAATATTTAAAACTAGGATTAGAACCATGAAGAACCGACTGCAAGGAAGATGCTACGAGGTGGACTTTCTTGCTAAAACCATTTTAAAATTTGTTTTTATTTTCCAAATAACACAAAAAATAAACTAAAGGCACTGTCTTTGTAGCTTATGCAGTTTCACTCAACAAGCAAGCAAAGTGCGTCAGAAACCTCACTACGGAGCCGAGTCCGACGTGGTTTTTAGACGTGCAGTGTGGGCAGTGTGGGTACGATGTAACCCTGCGGTTTGGTCGGTGTATGCCCGGCTTTAGATCATAAGAAGTAACTGTAAAGTTGTTTTTACTAGTAACTTGTTCCTTTGATTACTGACTTCTACAGGAATATAACCATCAACTATAACTAGTTAATTCAACTAACATTTCCAACACTGCTAACGTTGTATGTCAATACAGAAACCCACTTGATTGGGATAAAACCAGCTTTTACACAGCAAGCACCCGTCCTGATAGCGTTTAGATTAACCTTTTAACACAACTAACCAGACATGCATCAAGTAAACACCACTTTGTCCCTGATTTGATGAAGGAATATCATTCTGACATAGTTAAAAGATTAAAAAATACTTTAACATAATGTGAATACAATCATTATCCCAACATCATGTATATGTAAAAAAACAACAACACACATATCAGCCCTGGACAAACGATAGGCCAGATTGAAGCTTCTCTAAACACATCAGGTGACATTTTGGATGTTTCTACATTTTAGCACACAACAGATGAGAAAAAGCTTGTTACATTTAGAGGTCAAATGCTCAAATTAGATGTAGAAGAAGGATGAGATTAACGCGGTCTAATTTTCTAACTTTTCCTCTGATGGCTCAATTATATAAAAGCCCCGAGCAAAAATCCAGCTTCAAACCCGGTTAAAAACATGCAAATGTGACGTTTCCTCTGGAAACTGTGGTTACCCTCATCTGACCAACGCCTTTGCTGGCCTTTACATCGAAATGGGGAATTCCAAAGGAGTCACCATGCATGAAATTAAAGAAAACACTCGCTAACCGCTCAGAAATCTGACCTCAGCTGGTAAAAGTTTGAATGATCTGTAGCAAAGTGATGCTTCTAAACATAATGGTTCAACGCTCAACTTAAGAGTCAAATGAAGGTAAGATAAGCTGAAAAACCCAATGACGATCCGACCATTTATCAGAGATTAGTGTGCAGTATTGGTCTTAAATCTTCAACTAAAAAAAGCCAATATGAAATAACATCATAGAATTTTCCAATGCCAACCTTGAAACGGGCTGGAGGCCTGCTGGGCCAGGGCCAGGTGCTCCTCTGTAAGGTGGTAGATGGGCTGGTGCTGGTTGATCTCCACACTGGTGCACACGTTGTTCTCGCCGTGCAGGAAGAAGGTGAAAGCGCAGGACAAGTGCTCACTGTGAGGGGAGAGAAAAGCACAAAACGGGTCAGTTTTATTCATTCTCTGACCTGCTGTAACATCACCTGCTTGTTTGAAGCGGAGTAAAATTCAGCAGGGAGGAGCCTGCAGACACCAGGAGAGGAATCCCTGCCGCCTGCTTCATCTCAGATCAATGATTAAAAGGGACGGTTTGGAGAAAACAGGAGGAAGGAGTCGGATTCTACTTTATCAGAACATGAAGACATAAGATCTGAACCAACGCTTTAACTTCCTTCAAACAGCTGAGATTTACAAAAATCATGGACTTTTCTTCTTGAATAGTGGAAGAAAATCTAACAGTTCAACTTTTATATTTTGTGTTTTGTTTCATTATTGTTTAAAATAAAAAACAGGCTATGTAAAACAAGATAACAAAAAATACATTTTAAAATCCTATTCATAAATCAAACAACTGAAAATGTTTTAAGTTTTTAAGGGAAACTTTGCAGTTTTCTAAAAAAAGATTTTTAACAGAACTTATATCCAAAAAAATAATTTCCATCTTTTTTTATTTTTTATTTATATGACTGTTTTTCCAAGTTAGGTTTTACAAATTGCGTTGTTTACAAATTGTGTTTTACAGTTTAGGGTCTTGTCACTTCTGGGGGCGGGCTCTATTCTTTTACCGCATTTCTAGTGGTCTGCATATTTGCAACAACATTTTTATTTCTCAATGTGTTCATCAAGAGCAAGCCTTTTTATTGGGCTGAAGAGAATCTAATGTGTGAAACGCTGTTTGTAAAGAATGCAGTTCATAAAATGCAATCTGAAAAAGATACATTAAAAAGTATATTATATAAATATATATATAATTTGAAGAAAAAAACAAAAAGCATATCATGAACAAACAGGAAAGTTTTTCTCAAGTTGTTGGTATTAAATCACAAAATGTTTTTATTTGCTTGCAACAATAATGGACCAAAGTTCACTCCATAGCTCCTACCAATATTGAGGTATATAAATTGACGAAGGAAGTGATAAACTGATAGACGGACAGATGAAAGGAAGAGCAGGATGGATACAAAGGGACAGGGAATAAAGGATGGGAAACAAGTTTTTTTCCCCCTTTCCTATTCTTATCCAGACCTGTAAAACCCTGAAAATGTAATATTTTACCAGCGATCCTTTCTCTAGATGGTGGCAGGTTTTATATCCCTAGACTCCTGCGGGATCGACTGCAGGAGCCCATACAGCAAAGCTTCACCGGCTTCATCTGTCTGCTTACTGTGTGGCCTGTGTGTAAAACAAAGGGGCAAGCCCCGACTAACCCTGGCATTCTAGCCAATAAGCGCTGCAACAAAACACCTCCCAACACACACACAAGATCTTCCCTCCTTCCAGCTACGCCTGCCTGTGCCAGTCTGACCCCAGCGGCAAGGCAGGAAGACAAACTACTGAGGGAGAGCAAGGGCAGACCCAGAGGAAAGAGATCAGTGAAGTGAAGTGCTGAGCGTCGTCTGTAGGCTTTCCTCTCTCCTCCGTCACGGAGAACGGAGAGAGCACCAGTGACAAACGCCTGAATAAAAGCAGATGCAGTAGATGAAGGAGAGCTGCCTCCCTGTGGATTTGGTTAAGCAAATACGGGCTCTTCTCCCTGACTCTGGTGCTCAGACACACCTCGTCTGCCGAGGATTAAAGACGAAGAGCAGAGGGGAGGAAGGAGCGTGGCAGACGCAGAGCTTTAACAACATAATGGCAGCGACCAGGTGAACGGAGTGCTTCTCGCTCCACATGTCTCAGCTGGAGGAGACGTCTACAGGACAGAGGTGGAAGCAGGGGGGTCGCTGCTTCCAGTCTGCATCGACTCGCACGAATATTTTATACACCTTGGACCAGGGGAGGATTTAGGAAATTTAGGGCCCTAGGCAAAGACAGGCAGGGGGCCCTCTGAATAGAGGAGACAACACATAAAACAGACCCATTATACAGATATTTTAATAGAATAGACAAACATTATTTGCTCTACGTTTTGTCCCTCTCTTCTTGCTGTTTCTCAATTTTTTTTTTACTCAGCTAACTTTTAATGCTGTCTGGAAAAAAAATTTACGATTTTGTTTCTAATCACTAAGCTCCCTTAGCCGATTGCTCCCACCTGAAAGGCGACGGCAAAAGTAAACACTTAAGACAGACTTAATATTGTAAGCGTTTTGATGGCATTCTAGTAGAAGGATTTTTTTTTTTTTTATCAAAAACACTTTTACCAGAAAGTCTACACTCTCATCTTTTCAGGAAGTCTAATTTTTGTGTCCTGCTATCAGCCATGTATCACCAATGAAAAATGATAAATTCTCACTACGAATTGGAAATCTGTTTGGTGACTGACTTTTATTTCTGTCAGGCTGAAGAGATAGAAGTTGGAAAAAATTCTCTTGGCGTTAAAAAACAAAACAGCTTAAAAAGGACATCGTTTATTTAGTCATTTTACAATTTTGTAAACAACAGCTGCTGATTAAACTGGATGTTACAACATTAACATCATTATAAGAGTTATTTTTAGCGAGAATTTGATCAGAAGCGCCAAGAAAATGGTCCCATCCGCCATGTCCGCCCCTCTGGCTTCAATGCGCGTTCTCAACACATGGAAGCAGAATTTTATACATTTTATAACACCGGGGCAAAGAACGTCTGGAAGTTATTTGGATTTAGTTTTTACATATGCATTTATATATGTACAGATATATATACAGAAGAGCTTTATGTGTATATATTTGATCTCTTTTCATTCTTATTTTTTTATCTTTATTATATTGTATAGTTGGATGTGTGTATATATTATCTAAAACTGTAACTGGAGCGTGTAACAAAAGTAATTTCCCTCTAGGATTATTAAAGTATTTCTGATTCTGAAGTCAGACAGAGCTTCACATCCCTTGGACATCAATCAGTTTAGCAACAGCTAGTGGCTACAGGCTGCTTTCCTGCACATGCTGCCACCACCTGGTGAATTCCAGTACTGCACATTTTACTCGGATCAGCTCAGATCCGGGGCTCTTGGGGAAACATCCGGGGCTGTAGCCAAGGGAAACATCCGGGGCTGTAGCCAATAGCCGCTCCTATATATATATATATTCAGTTGTTTTTTTATACACTTTTACCTTACAGTCATTATGATGCACTGGTGTCACATCATAATTTCCCCACTGTCGGATCTTTTCTATTCTAAGACGAATGACACATGAGAACATGTTCCAGCTAATAGTGCTACTGGTGTTAGCTATGCTTTTAAGTCCTTTCCTTCCACCTGTTAGTTTTCTGTGAGGCATTAGAGCAGCTGGGAATTATTTAGTAGCTGTGTCAATATCTGCCTTCCTGGTAGTTCTGCTATACTGCCACTAGATGGAGCAAATCCTGTTTATGCCAGCTCATCGGCCCGGTGCTGAGATTCTATTTAGCCTAAAAAATTCTAAACAGTCAGGAGGGATTATTGGAGTGTAAAGCCTTTATTTCATCATAATCAACTGGATGTTGGTCTTTTAGCCGCTGGCTTATTATCAGCCCATGTACCTTTAAAGTTTATGGATGCAAAGTGACAAAATGTGGTGGGTTTAAATCCTTTTTGAAGGTAAAGCCAGACAGCGTTAAAATATCTTAAAGTTTGTATGTTATTATATTCCCTCATAGCACTGTTTAGCTGCACATAATTATCTTCTCTAATAAACCTAAATGTTTAATAAAAGTCCTTTTCTTCTTATAAGGCACCGCACTCTATTTGTGAGCTGAACCTTGTGATATTTCCATCACTGCACTGGTGTATGACAGCCAGCCTCCACAGTACAGAACCTGTCAGCGTATGCATGTAATAATTACAGAGCTAATGTGGAGGGAAAAAAATGGCTGCACTGATGTCGAGCACTGTTCTGACACTTTGGCTGGCAAATTACACCAATCCTCCACACTCTTATTAACAAAGAGCAAAGCAGACAGAGCCTTCAGATAGCTGTACTTGTCAGAGCCTGCTGGTTTCTGCTTTCTAACTGGGACACATGGCTCCTGAAAAGAGAACTAAAATCCACAAAGATGCATAAAAATATCTGCATCGTCTGCATAAGTGCAGCTATGACTAGAAACTCAACAGGGTTTGTTTTTAAAAACAGGACATTTCACTCAGATTAAGAATGACTTTAATAGGTGGAAAAGGACATTGCTACAGCATCTTTTAAGTTCTAAATAATTTGCACCGATACAGCCACCGATTTCTCAGCTTTTTATTGGGATTTATTTTGTGATATGTTGATTTAACGCAGAGAATCGCAGGAACAATCCCACAAAGTTTTCAGTTTTAAGAAATTCTGCTTTTCCAGAGTCGATTTTTTTAGATTTTATTTATTTATTTATTTATTTTTTTACAAAATTTTGAATATTTGAGGAGAAAATGTCACCTTTGAACTATTTAAACAACAGTCATGTAATTTTAAGAAACCAGGAACAAATCCTGAAACCGGATTTTGATTGCGAGTGTAATTTGACAAATTTTCTTGCACTAATGTTGCAAGTCTGGTATCATTTCTTGGGGGAAAAAAAACACCAGAAATTGTAGTTTTGCTTTATCCATTTAGTCTTAAGGTTAAAAATCTGAATAAGAATCATAATAAATTCCCAAAACATTAAAGTGAGATGACAAATATTTAGTTTTATTTACTTTATTGCCAAAGTTAAATCATTCAGGAAGCAGGTTAATGTTAACATAAAATAGGTCTAAATAATCGATGTAAGAACCTTTGTATTGATTTTTGAATTAGATTTTTGTCTGAGAAAATTGAAGACCAAAAGAAAATAGAAATCTTAACATGAATAAAAGAAGCATGTAAAATGTTTTCTTCATACAAATCTAAAACTGTTCTGTACATCTTTTAATGTGCTTCCTGTATCCTGAGAGAGACTGAAGATAAACGTTTTTTTTTTGTAAGGGTGATACTGAGATTGATTATTTGGACACCAGTCGATGTGCTGCAGACTTTTTAGGACCCACTTTAGCTG